GGCAAGATAAAATAGGTAAAACATTTGAAGACAAGTGTAGGAAAGTATTTTCTTTTCTTTTCGGTACCGGGGATCGAACTCAGGTCCTTGCGGTTGTGCAGCAGGTGGTGAAATCACTGAGCTAAATCCCCGGCCCAAGGAAAGTATTTTCTAAACAGAATCTCAGTTGCACAAGAAATAGCAACAAGTGGGATTAAATCAGACTGAAAAGTTTCTGTACAGCAAAAGAATCAGTAGAGTGATGACAGAATCTACAGAACAGGAACACTTTTTATGCTAGGTGTTCCACAGACAGAGGACTAATACCTAGAATATACAAAGAACACAAAAAAACCACTTAAAATTAAAGATCCAGTCAAGAAATGGGCAAGAGAAATGAACAGATACTTCACAGAGGAAGAAATGCAGGTGGTCAACAAATATATGAAAAAATGCTCAACATCTCTGGCTATTAGAGAGATGCAAATTAAAACAATGCTAAGATTCCATCTTACTCCAGAAAGAATGGCAATCATTAAGAAATCAAAGAATTGGGCTGGGTATTTAGCTTAGTGATTCTGTCACCTCTCTTGCAAGAGCAAGGTCCTGAGTTCAATCCCCAGTAAAAAAAAAAAAAAAAAAAGTCGAACAATAACAAATGCTGGCATGGCTGTGGTGAAAAAGGAACCACATTGTTGGTGGGAATGTAAACTAGTACAACCATTATGGAAATCAGTGTGAAGATTTCTCAAAGAATTGAAATTAGAAATTCCATGTGACCCAGCTATCCTCCTTCTGTGTATCATCCCTAAAGAGGTTAAGACATTATTCTACAGTGATACATGCATACCACTGTTTATAGCAGCACAACTTGTAATAGTTAAATCCTGGAAACAGCCTGTATACCTATAAACAGAAATGATTGGATAAAAAATGTGCTATCCATATATAATGGAATACTACTATGCTATAAAGAATGACAGATTTGAGACATTTTTAGAAAAATGGATGCACCTGGAAGATATAATGTTGAGGGAAATAAACCAGACACATGGTTAAATACTGTATAGTATCTCATTTAAGTGAGAATAACAAAGGTTGGATAGAAAGGGACAAAGAGATGGATCTCATGCAATAGGGAAGTGGTTGAAGGGAAAAAGATCAAGGGATGAGGAAGAGAGGAAGGAGAAATGAGTAGAATAAAGATATGCCATGTGCAGGAACCTAAAGTAACTCCAATTAATGTAAACGTGCCATAACACGAGCTAAGATGAATAATATCAATAAGAATGTAAAATAGGATGGGGAATTGGAGGAGGAGGGTGGGAGAGGAGAGGGAAGGGGATGGGGATTAAAAAAAAAGCTGTGGTATGTACATGTAACCACTCCTCAAAATGATGGTAGACGGCATGAGCTGCAAACAAGTGCTAATAAAATTTAAAAAGCAAGCAAGCAAGCTGGTTGCCAGGCTGTCTTCACTTCCAGTGTCCCCTTGGCATTTGGGCAGGAACTTCTCACGGTGGTAGAGGGAGGCCAGCATGTAGGCAGGATCTGTGGGGCTCTGAAGTTGAACCCAGTTAGGGAGGTTGAGGGGGTCGGCAGGACCACACTGTGGGACAGGCACATGGCACCATCAGCCACCACACTAGCCAGGTAGATGGCTCTGGTGCCGAACCACTGCACCAGCCAGACCATGATGAGGGAGAAGAGCAGGCTGCCCCTCCACACATCTTTGTCATAGGGTCTCGGCCTCAGCGCCTGGCTTGGTTCTTGGCACACTTTGGTACAGTCCCTTGCCTGTAAAGTCCATGTAGAACAGTGTGAAAGTCATGAATGCCATCCAGTTGCCCAGCCAAGCCAGGAAGAGTCTACGGGGTTGGGGGCATACAGCAGCAGAGCTGGTGCAGTCAAGGAAGCAGGGTGCCCAGGTTCTGGAAAACCAGATGGGCACAGCATGGACAGCTGTGTGTTGCCACAGAGGGCACTGATGGACACTCTGGTGCCTCAGCTGGGCTCAGCACTGCCTCCTTGGCCACCAATAGCATGGCTGCCATTCAAGTGAGGAAGATGGTCATGATCAGGCTGAAAAGGCTCTTTCTGGGTGACCAGGTGGGGGCCAGAGTGCCGGTATCCCAGTCAGCAGGCAGGAGGTAGCCTAGGCCCCCAAGGTTGATCATGAAGGCCTAGAGGGAGAAGTCTGCATGACAGTGGTCTGGGTCCTGGAAGAGCTTAGACAGTAGGGCCTCCAGGGGCATGAAGCACCCCTGACTGTGGAAGTCCAGCAGCCCCACACCCAGGATGAGCAATGCCAACTCTGGGGGTGGGTATCCTGCATGGCAGCTCCGCCAGCCAGCCCACCCTCAGGATGAGAAAGGGGATGAGCAGGATGCCTAGGAACAGGGCCCAGAAGAAAAGCCTTTGGCAGCCATGGCTTCCATGCCTGGTTACTGGCTGAGCCCACGAGTGGGACAGGGACCAAGCCCAGCACTGGACTGGTGCCAGCACCATGGTCATGAACTAATCCTCGACCTCCTCTTTCTGGAGCAGGGACAGTATGTAGGTGATGCTGGGAGCCAGGCACACCTCCAAGCCAAAGGTCAGAAGGTTGACCAGCAGGAGCTGAGCTTTATTTAAAAACAATTTTTTTTTGTTTTATTTAGTTCAGGCTGTCCTTGAACTCACTATGTAGCCCAAACTGTCTTCGAACTCAATGTGATCCTCCTGCCTTAGCTTCTCAAGTGCTAGGATTAAAGGTGTGTGCCACCATGCCCAGCTGATCTGGGCTTTCTGATGCTGCAGCAGGTGGTACCCCTATAGTCTATGGACCGTGGTGGGGCAGGCAGGTCAGGCTCCTGGGGTCAGTCAGTCACAAACTCTACAACTGCTTTGTCTCAGCCCTGCTCCAGAAACTGATGCTGAGGCTTCTTGCTGCCACCAAAGGCCTAGGATTCAGCCAGGCACCCATTTCCACCAGCCCTCTTGTGCAGGCCCAGCGCCTCAGCCCATGCTAAACATCTGCTGCCATGCAGCACCTCAGTGAGGAGACATCTCATCATTCAGATCCTGGCCAAGGCATGTGGCTGTCACCTCAGGCTGTAGAGCTCCTCAACCCTCTCCTTCCCTGCAACATATGCCAGCCAGTGGCTTTTAAATCTCAACATTTTTCCTTTTGTAATCATTTCCAAGACAGTTCCCGTAGAGAAGACTTGGGATTTATTTAGAGTTCCAGAGTTCTGAAATTCACGTCATCTTCCTCATGTCCACTCAGTTGATGGACAGTGTATTTATCTCAAGGCCGGAGCCATCATTATCTTGGCATGTGCTGACATCTGAGCTCTTGCCCTGTTTCCTTTGAAAAGCTAATGTAATCATTGACTGAAAAACAATCTAGAGAGTCCCAAAATTTCTTCATAATTAGAAAGCTCTGTTGCTGCAGGAGATCTGAAGGGCAATCGAATGACAGGTTGTCACTTCTTTCCATCTGTGGTGTATGTTCTACATTCACTGGACGCATCGTATTTCTGCCCAAACCAGACTACGAATGTCAGACTTCCTTTCTGTTTCAGGTTTCCCTACCTTTTTGGACTCCATATGAAAAATTTTATTTTGTCTTGAAGGTGACCCAGCAATATTTAATCACATAGTTCTGAAAGAAGTTTTCATGCTCAGCTAATATTTTTTTTTCTTTTCAAGACTGGGGATTAAACCCAATTCTTCACTTATGCTAGGCAAGCACCCTAACACTGAGCTACATCATCCTTGCCTTTTAAAATAAAAAAATATTTTATGAAAAAATAAAACTTCATAATCAAATAAAAACAGAATAACAATAGTTATTACACTGTGTATCATTATTTTCAAAGTAGTTACTCAGAGTATAAGACATAAACCACAAAGATTCTTACAAAAAAGAAACAAATAATAACACAAATCTTTATATCTATCTATCTATCTATCTATCTATTTATTTATTTATTTTTGGTACCGAGGATCAAACTCGGGACCTTCTGCTTGCAAGGCAGGCACTGGAACCACTGAGCTAAATCCCCGGCTCACAAACCTTTATTTTCAATGAACTAAGGTAAATTAGTAGTATAAATGAAACCAGTTAGCATGTATATTGAAATATTTTTAAAGCAATGGATTTTGTAATTTGGGGAAGTATTTGAACTTTTCCCTATTTTCTATTTATCTCTCTTCTATTTTGTTCTTTATTTGTGTTTCTCATATAAAAGAAACCATGCAACATTTGAGCTTGTGTGTCTGACTTATTTCACTTAATATTATGTTCTCAAGTGGCATTCATTTATCTGTGAATGCCTCGTTTATCTTTATGGCAGCTACTCCATTATGTATAAACACTACATTTTCTTCATCTATTCATTTGTTGATGAACATTACACTGTTTCCAAGATCTACATATTATAACTGTGCTGCTATAAACATGGGTATGCAGGTATCCCTGTAATATGATGATTTTAACTCTTTTGAGAAGATACCTAGGAGGGGGATAGCTGGGTCAAATGGAATTCCTACTTTTAGTTTTTTTTACTTTGCTCTTTGCTCCTTTTCTTTTGCTAACTTCAGTTCCTCACCTGTGATATACCATGGGGATTAATGTCCAGGCCAGGAATGACCTTGTCTCTGACTTTGGAGTTTTCCACTAGATGTGGGAGAGAAAGTAAGATTCTAGGTTCATTCTCCCTCCAGGTTCTGCCTTCAGGGCCCCAGATGTACCTGACACAGTCTGCTCTGGCTTTTTAGATTTTGATCTCAAGTTAGGGAGGCTACATGGAGCTGCTAGGGAGAGCTGGAGCCCTTCTGATCTATAGTTCACTTTGTCTCCTTGATGATTTGGCTGAATGGGGGCTCCTGGAAGTCAAGTCTTCCCTTGCTGCTCAAGATACACTTGCCGCCCTGGGAAATCACATATCGATGAGGCAGAAAGGGAAGGCAGGGTAGGTGGGGCTTGAAGGGGAGGGCAGAGAAGAAGGATAAGAAGCAGGAGGTCTGTGTCTTGGTCTCGGAGGCTGGACGTTCTGACCTGGCCAGGTGAGCAAAGAGTAGAGAGTTTTAGTTCTCTAGCCCTGACTCCTTGCTCAGCGGGCACATGGAACTATGAATCTCTTCTATAAGGCAGGTGTTGCTGTGAGAGATAACTGCGAATTGCAGAACTGGTGTTGAGAGATCACTGATATGGGGCTGCTAGGAGCCCAAGACAGAGGTATTGGGAGTCCCTGTCCTGAGAACAAGATGTATGGTGTCTGAGACCTCCCAAGAATCCTCTCTACTTCTGTAGACTCTTCTAGAAACATTTCTAATCTCCATGAAAACTCCCAAAGGACTTCCTAGCCACAGGGGAGCAGTGCTCATAAAATGCTTAACAACTGGCTCTCTAGAAAAAGATCCCTGGATTCTGGCATTTGCCCATTCTAAGGTGTAAATATCATTACTGTGGCTACCAATGTGATGTCATCCAGCTTGCTAAATACTTGAGATGTTAACATCATTGACTTGAGAACCAGCACCAGTGCCGACCCCAACCGGAGCCCTTTCAGCAGAGTCTCCCTTCTCCCACCCCTACCCAGTTCCACGTTAATGTCCACACTTTACCGGCACCGTGACATCCTCTTGCAGCCTTCTGATTCTCTTCTCTGTGCCTCGTCTCTCAACTCTGCTGTCTCACAGCTTGAACTCTCCCTATCTCTGTAGGATTTTCCACCTCTCTACAGTCTTGGGCCCAGGCTTGCCCTTGTCACTATGTTCATCTTCACCTGCACTGGCCAGCATTCCTCTATCCACCTGGGCCAGATACTTACCAGAGGGAGGCAGCTGGGAGTTTGTGGCCTCAAGTGGGGCAGGGGGCTGTGTGCAGGTGGGATAAGGGTTTTGATGCTTAGTAGACCTGGACTCTATCTCCCTGTCCTTCCTACAGGGACTGGATCTCTTGGGTCGCTAAGGGACCCTGTACCTCGGGGCTGCCTCCACCATCTACCAGAATGTGACAAGGGAGACAATAATGGCCACCATGCTTGATACTAAGAGGGCTACACTTCAGATATTCATTAGCACCTGGAAAGACATCAGCCCACTATCGAGAGAATCAGGTGCCTGGGGTCCCGAGGAAAGAAGTAAGGTGGGAGGTATGGTGCCCCAATCTGGGATCATAGGCTCGAAACTGCCTTTTCTCTCTATCCCAGGTGCCTCATGTGCCAGCCTGAGGAGGAGTATTTTTCAAGCCCTGGACCCAGCGCTGTGCCAAGGCAGTTCAGGGAGGAGCTGACTGTCTTGGATAAGGACACTGAAATCTGAAACGAAAGCCTGGATAAATTCAGTCCACTGACTGAAGGAAAAAATGAGAAAGTTCACAGTGCAGAGTCTGTTCCTGGGAAGGGCTGGACCAGCAGAGGGCACTGGGGCACCAAGGATAAGTTTGAAAAGTCCTGTGGGCTTGAAACACCAGGAGAAGAAAGGACAGATAGCGGGGAAAACCCAGAGACGGTTTTTCAGTAAGGATGTGAATGATACATTTCTTTGTGGTTCTTAGTGATCACTACATGACTGAAATTGGAAGAGGATAAACTGGTCTCCATGGCACGCAGGATCTATAGCTCACATTTACAGTGTGCTAAATAACACTTGGCTTTCATGAGGCAGGACCCCTGTGGGGCAGCCTAAGCCTAGAAGGAGAAGGATTTCTAAATCTCAAAAAAGTATTGGGTGGCCAGTGACATTGCTAGTCCTAGCTTCACCTTTTGTTGGAAGCTTGTTTTAGGCCTTGCTGTGGTGAGTTACTTTGGCCTTTGTGCAAGTTCCCTGCAGAATATGTGGGCACTTATTTCCTTAGGTTGAGTCTCTTATGTAGCTTGCATTTGTCCATGTTTATTTATATTCATGTTTACTTCAGAAACATTTTCTTTAAAGTTTTTTTTTTGTTTTTGTTTTTGTATTGTGGATTGAACTCAGGACCTTGTGATTTCGAGGCAAGCGTGGCACCACTGAGCTAAATCCCTGGCCCATAAAGTTTTTCACATTTATTCTGATTCCTTGATCTGATTTTGTTCAGCTTTCTGGTGTGCTTTCATTATCTCTAAATTATGTTATTTTGCTTTTTTTTTCTTCACAGAAAACATTGCTCTATTAACTGTGGTTGCCAACACAGAAACAGTATAAAGGGCTCCTTGAGATGCATGCCCCGAGAGGATCCTGTTCTGGAAGCCCCCATGAGTGAGCAGGATAAGATAGGATAGGATGGGGCTGGGAGCTGTGGCTCAGCAATGACACAGAATCATGCAGGGCACAGGAGCCATTGGCCACACCAAGGCAACTGTACATTCTACTACTTGTTAAGAGTTGTGAACATGAATAATATATAAAAAGGAGAAAGAGGTTTTTGCGGTAATGAAAAAATCCATTTTCCTCTACAATGGTTTCTTTTCTAAAACAAGAAAATAAATATTGCAACATAAGCCAAAAATAATTTAAAATTGCTCTTTTCAAAATATTTTCAGTTGTGTCTTTATTGCACACCACAGCTGCCACAGCAGCTGGAGGGTCATCTGCCCTTTGGTATAGATTAGCAAATAGCAATTGGACAGGACAATAATGGCATTGAAGCTGATTTCCCCCAACAAGTGCTTTGGGCAGTTGTTTGGGCAGAAAGTTTTTGAATGTGACAGTGTGGGGCTGATATGTAAAATGAAATTTGCTGTCTACTTATCACCAAAGGCAGGAACTGGAAAGTGCCCTGCCCTGGATTGGCTCTCTGGTTTAACTTGCACAGAACAAAGTTTGTGTGTATATATATATATTTTGGTACCGGGGATCGAACTCAGGACCTTGCGCTTTCAAGGCAGGCGGCAGAACCACTGAGCTAGATCCCTGGCCCAGAACAAAGTTTTGAATCGTAGTCTGATTATCACCAAGCTGCCTCAGAGCACAGCATTGTCATCATCACTCCAGATGTCAGTCCTCATGAACCCAATAGTTTTTTTCTTCTTTTAATGGTAAAAACTTTATTTACTATTTATAAATACATTGCAAGACAAATTTCTCAAAAACACTTTTTTTTTTTTCAAAAATGTAACTAAAAAATGAAAGGGGCCGGGGATTTAGCTCTGTGGTTCTGGTGCTCGCCTCGAAAACGCAAGGTCCCGAGTTTGATCCCCGGTACCAAAAAAAAGGAAAGCTAATAGGTAGGCAGAACATCTCGAGAGCCCTTGGGATTATCAAGGAGCTCCATGCAGTGGGTCCACCCTGGGACTGCGGGCTCCACATACCCGGCTTCTCCAGGCACACTCAGATCTAGCCTTGGGGACCACAGGTGGCCACGGGCACGAGCTCCTTTCCTCGGTCACAGCCATGGTTGGTTATATCATCTAGTATCTCTACCATTTTCTCTAGGATTATCTAGTGTAGATGCTGTTATATTTGGGCTCTGTTGTATACACTGTTAACAGTTAATTAAGAACACATCTCCGTATATATGTATGAGTGGTAAGGAGTGTGTGTGAGAAGAATTCCAAGTTCAACCAACACAGGTCAGAGATCTCCAAGTGTCCCGTGTCCTCGACAGGCTCCCAGCAAGCTGGTCATCTTTCCTGTTTAGATTTTTGTTTTTCTTTTACATTGTGCCAAGCAGGATACAGGTGAGAGATGAAAATAAACCTTTGCTTTTAAAGAGCTTAACCCCAAAAATCTTGTTTTGAGGAGCTGAACTAGAAAGCACTGCAGTCATCTGAAGAATTGTGCGATTGCTCAAAAGGCCTCTAAATGAGGAGGCTGCCAATTGGTGCCCCTGCCTCTCCTGCCCCGAGGGCAAGGTGATCCCAGCCACGCAGCCTTCCAAAGGCACTGTCATCAGGAAGCTCCCCAATGGAGGGTCACACACACCTTCCTGACAGGCTCCCAGTGTGCCCAAGAACCTTCAGGGTCATTCTGTTTGTAAGGCTGCATCTTAATCTCTCCAGTAGTTTTCAAAGTAGATCAGGTCACTTGGAGATGACGGACAATCTTTGCAGTCCAGAGACCCAGGCCCCTGATTCAAAGATGTCCCCCTCAGGCTGTGGTCTTGGGAGGGGCCATCAGGACATCCAGGTGATTGGAGTTGAGGCTTTTCCTACTCTCCTATGCTTTCGCTCATTTTACAGAGGGTAGGGAAGAAGCTTGCTTGCTGAGTTCTCAAGCTTTACAGAGGATTGGAGGGTTGTCCCCTCAGCTGATGAAGGTTTGGGAGGGAAGTCTTCTGTGAGAGTGGAGGTTTACAGGCAGCAACTAGAAAATTCAAACTGCTTTTCGCTAATTACTGGAAAGATCTCAAGTTCACCACTTAAAGGAACCATAGGCATTTCAAAAATCTGTCTAAACTTTGTTTTTTTAAATAATCAGTTCACCACGAAAAGAAATACAAATCGAGGCTGTAGCCAGCTGCTGAGCCTGTCCTTGGCAGTCTTTTGTGCAAAATAAGGTGTGTTTGAGCTCCACATTAAGTGGTCAGCGGGTCTACTGGTTGTTTATGCTCAGGCAGTGCACATCCTCCTTGCCTGGGACTCATGGCCCAGGAGGGGATGCCCATACTTGTCCACGCACCAGCAGAAGCCCTGCTTTCTGCCTTTGGAGGGGCGGGACTGCTGCTTCTTGCAGAACCCCTTCTCGTCACAGTTTGGGATGTGGACGCCCCTGGGACTCAGCACGTTAAGGAACTTCCGGTAGTTGAGCGTGTCTTCCATCACTCTCCGGCAGGGGCTGTATTCTGGCTCCCGCTTGGACTCGGAGGAGAAGTTCTGGGAGTCCGTGCTCTGGGACTCGTAGTGGACTTTGTAGTGCTGGCTGTCCTTGGCGTGGCCTTTCTTATTTTTTTTTTTTTTGTACCGGGAATTGAACTCAGGGCCTTGTGCTTCCCAGGCAGGCACTGTGCCGCTGAGCTACATCCCTGGCCCATGGCTTGGCCTTTCTTGATGACGTCCATCTTCGTGTGCAGGGTGTGGAACTTGGAGTCGGTCACCCGGTGGGTGCTGGGGACGGCCTGGGTCTCCACTCTTCCAGCGCCGTGGTTCTCCTCCGACTCGCTGGCATTTCCTGGAGTGGAGGGCGCCGTCAGCAGGAAGGGGTGCAGGCGGCCAGCGGCGCTGGCGTTGGCGCAGAATCCGTGGCCATGCAGGAGCGCGTGCTGCGGACGCGGTCATGGGGCTGCAGATGCGGTCATGGGGCTGCAGCTGGCGGCGGAGGCCCGAGCCACAGTGCTAGGTGTAGACGCTGCACGCCGGCGAACCCAGTATTAACGGAGAAGATGATAGCTGGGACTTCTGATTTATGCTTTGAAAAACCCTGGAAAATCTGTGTCAGGATTTGCTCCAATTTTCAACCCAATGTCCTTGGGGTAAAAAAAAACAAACCTTCACTGGATATTTGGGAACAGATCAAAGGAAATAGGCTTATGATGGGACCCATCTTGTGAGATCTTCTCCAGGTTCTCTGCTGTACATACTGATTGACCAAGGAAAAGATGACCAGTTCCTTTCAGATGGACAGCTACTCTCTGATGATGACATTGCTGCCTGTACAGCAAAGGAAATCTTTGTTATTTCTAGATTACAAGAGGGTTAGCATCATGAAGATTACTTCATTGCCACCTTTATTGCTGATCAATCAGACATCATGCAAAATATCCAAATGCATGAAAAACTTCAGAAAAAAGAATTTCTTCAAGATTATTAAAGTGGTAATGAACAGAATTGCTGAGAAAAAAGACTTTTAAATATAGGACTGCATAATGCTAAATGAACTTCCTTTAGAGTTGAATCACCTTCTTTCTGAATGAATACATAAAAACCTACTTCTGATTGTAAAAGTTATTTTATGGGTGTCCCCATAGGAAAACTTTAATACTTCACAGCTTTTTTGGTGTCCTTTGGGAATCTTTGGTATATTAACCTCAGGTCAGAGAATATGAGCAAAATCCAATTCAAATCATAGAATTCTAACTGCACCTGAGGCTCTCAGGGTTGTTTAGCCCAGACTCCCTCATCTTTCCAGACGCCTCTGAAGGCAAGGACTGTCGTGTTCATTGTTATCCAGTGTCTAGAAAGTAGTTGATTTCTAGTAGGCATTTAGTAATGGGTTGTCAGCTATAGAACAAGAAAGTAGGCTCAGAAAAGTGAAAAGAATGCACTACCATTTTATCTGTGGGACAGCTAGAAAACAAGCTTCTAAACTCCAGTTCAGTGATTTTTTTTCTTATTTGTTGAGCTGAATAAATCGGTGAGCATTAGTTTTTTGGGATAAGTCTCTCATAAATTAGTAAGATTCAGTCTGAAGTGGCTGAAGGAAATGTATACATTTTATATGTTACTGTAAATAAATATTTCCATTAATCACATATAGAAATTTAACTTGGTGAACTCACCAAGCAAAGTAATTTATTTTTATTTTTAGTTTTTTGAGACAAGGTCTCTCTGTGTAGCGTAGGCTGGCCTCGAACTCACAGCAATCCTCCTGCCTCAGCCTCCCAAGTGCTGGAATTAGAGGCATGCTCCACCATGCCTGGCAGCATTTTTTATTTTTATTTTTTGGTGAAATACGAAATTATGTTCCTTTACAAATGTAATAGAAAACCTTTTTGAAATATCATAGGTTAGCTTTGGTAGCATGGTTTTTTCCATTAAAGAGCACAGAGGTTACTCATTTTAAATATTCAATAAGAATGCATGTTAAATGGTACTCAAAGAAGACATTAGTTTCTTAAATTTATAAAATTAGTACTATTTTAATATAAATATAGATAGCATAAAAATTAGTACAATTTAAATATCAGTAATCAAGATTGAGTCCTAGAGGGAGCTACACACAAAATAGTTCTAGTCTTGGGTCCTCTAATAAGGAAGATCACAGTTCATG